TTCCGGTATCTCCAACGTTAGAAATCCCAAAAGTGGACAAGCAAAAATCTCCTATTGAACAGTTCGCGGCATCCACCTCGATATCTTATCCGTCAGCAGTAGAAAGAAAGCGGAAATTTAATTCCTTCACTGATTATCTATCAACTGAAACTTACTCTCCTGGCTCCTCAATACCAATTTTGTAGTCCGTGAAACTTTTCGACACATGAAAATTGAATACAAACAGAAGACCGGCTCGTTCAAACGCAATAACTTTGTCATCTTGATGTTTCCATGAAGTGTAGGCCTGCAAACTCAACATGGATGGTACTCTTTTTTAGTGAGGTATTGTCACATAATATGGTCACATGATAATTTATGGCTTTTTGTTAGAAATTACGTAAAGAACAATTGCGCCGCTACGATGCAACATCCTTAGCTCCTGGTTCAAACTCTGGACAAGAACAACTGCGTCACTATAGGCCGTTAAAAGTTCGGCAGTCTTAGTAATTTATAACCACTGGGGTATAAAATCACTTCTTCCCATCTTCGGGATCCAGAATCGCAGTTCACCACCTCAGAGCCTCGCCACCTTTTTTATATTATTTCTCTTACCTAACTTCACGTTGTTTAACTTTAGTTGTGTATAACTGCAAATAAATAAATGAATATATGTATATATATATATATAACTAGGTTTTTCCACACACACACACACACACACACGCACACACACACACGCACAAACACACGCACACACACACAAACATACACACATACACATACACACACGCCATGCCACTAATCAAGTTTATTAACTTTTAAGGTCGCGACAGCACTATGAAAACTATGCAAAACACGCGATAAAATACTTACTGGTCCTCGCGACAAGAAATGGTGCTTTTCTTCCAGCTCGTTCATCGCGCGATCGAAATTATTCAAATACTTGTATCTGAGCAATTCATCGTCCACTAAGTTCCACTGCCTACGACAGTAGTGGAACGATTCGTTGTTGCCATGGCGGGGGAAATCCAACCATTCGGGATGGCCAAATTCATTTCCTGCAAAACCGGTCCAGTCGAAAAGTATAAAGCTGAAAATTTATGCCGTGACCATAGTTGTGGAAGGCATAGGCGAGCCCAGGGCAATTTCCTGGAAAGGGGGACGGGAGGAAGTGCGATTTTGCCAATTTCTC